CTAGTGATTGGACAGATGATAGTGAACTTCGTCGTTATCGGCAAGTCTGGAAACAACTGGAAATAATTGACGGTGTTTTGCATCGACGCGTATCAACAAGTGGTCGGAAAGATGATCTCGTTCTTGTAGTTCCTCGGAAAATGCGTGCGGATCTGTTGCGGCTCTCTCACAATGATCCTAGTTCTGGGCAAATGGGTATTAATCGCTGCGTCGAACGTTTGCAGCCGTGGTATTACTGGCCTGGAATGACCAGCGAGGTGCATCTGTGGGTTGCAGAGTGTGACGTGTGCAACCAAAGGAAATCGTCGTCAGCATCACACCGTACCCCCATGGAGAACATCCGAGTATCTCAACCAATGAAGTTGTGGGCAAAGGACATCTTAGGACCCCTTCCAATAACAGCACGAGGGCACCAGTATGTTTTAGTGATGAGTGACCACTTCACTAAATGGGTCGAAGCGGTCCCAATGGCTGATCAGAAAGCAGAGACGGTAGCTCGTGCGTTTATTGACAACGTAGTGTCTCGACATGGCGTTCCTGTGAAACTCCTCACTGACCAAGGTAGAAACTTTGAGTCGGAGCTCATGAAAGAAGTATTCAAGCTGTTGGGCGTTCACAAGTTGCGGACATCACCATATCACCCACAGACTGACGGCCAAGTGGAGCGGTTCAACCGTACACTGAAAGCAATAATCTCGTCCTACGTAAATGGTCATCACAACGACTGGGATTTACATTTACCCTTGGCTTTATTCGCATATCGAACAAGTGTCCATTCCTCGACACGCGTATCTCCATTTAAAGCAGCTTATGGGAGAGATGCTACTACGCCACTCGTGTTACTGGGCAGCACGGAGAAGCCCAAGACCCGGTTGATTGCCGACTACTGTGCTGAACTTGAGTTTACGCTGAAAGAGGTCCACGCGACGGTTGCTGAGGAGATCAAGAAAGCACAGACCCAGCAAAAGCAAAATTATGATGCACGTAACACTGCTCATCAGACAGAAATTCTGAGACCCGGAGACATTGTATGGTTACATAGCACTGTCATACCGAAAGGACGCAGTAGAAAGTTCCACAAACCGTGGATTGGTCCGTACGTCATACTCCGTTGTCAAGGACGTTTAAACTATGTGATTCGTCCAAAATCGGGAAAAGGAAGGAGTTCGTGTGTGCACCGCAATCGACTCAAGCTGGTACAGAATCAGACGGATGACATTAACGAGCAAGACATGCCATTTCCATTGTCGACCAAGAGCGAGAAAACCCAAGAGCGAAGAGTTTCTGAATCACCGATAGTTCACAAGGAAGTTGAGGCAACGAACATGGTACCTCTAAGGAGATCTACCCGTCAGCGCCGACCACCTGATCGTTACCAGGACTTTAATTTAGATGAGCTTGAGATCGAGGACGCTCTCACTTAAGGGGAGGGTAATGTAGTATACGAAGATGTCTAATGATTAATAAAGGTCGCGTGCATGGGTCAAGAAAGGATATCGGATGACAATAACAAATGGGATTGCTAGACAATATACAGGACAAGAATATAGTGCATTGATTGCGGGGAACTAGAATAGGATTTAATAAAGTGATTTGTTTATACTGCTTGCGTGTCGTGATATATTACATATGAAATATATAAACAATTTCACGAGGCTCTTAAAATACAGTCGGGCGGTGATGAGAATCAAGGAATTTATTTTATGTGGCCCAGTAGTACCAATACAAAATTATACAAAATTTGCGAACTTTGAAAGGCTATACTTTCCGCATTTTACAACATTTCGCAAACAAACTTTCCAATTTTACTAATTTTTGTATGCTCTTTCCGGGAATATACTTTTTTGCCAAGATAAAAACCAGTCTAATGGGAATTGTCCATTGTTTATTTTGCCTAAAGATTTGAGCGGTTTGTCAACAATACAATTTCGCTTGTCTTTCAAAGGCCATAAAGCGCTAGAATACTGCTGTTTAGAGAGACAAACTTTTAAGCTGCATGATTTGGGAATATTTTTTCCTTGTTGCGTGCATAAAGCGCAGCAAAGAAGCGGTCCTGAGAGTCCAAGATTAATTATAATTTTCCCGCAGAAGGGGAAATTCAGAGCACGTGCAAGTGCAACGTCAACGAATTTTACTGGGCTATTAAGTGATTTGGCTGTAGCCTGTAGGAAAGAATTTCCGGCTGAGCTATTATATATCTGCACCTCTAAAGTAAAGCATGATTTTAAAGACTGTCTTTGATTATCGCTTGACACACACGAATACCAACAATTATTGCGGTGTCTGCGCTGATATTCTGCCTGAGCGTTTCTTCATAGTTTGTTATAGTTTGTTCGGATCAATATAGCCTGCGAGCAGGCTCTCTGGGGAAAGAGAGCCTGCAAGGATCCCTTTGATGATTCGGTGCATGCGTCCAATATTTGGACGCAGTGCTCTGATTGGTTGATAACTGATTCATAGGAAGTGATTGACAAGCTTCCATAAACTTGCACTTCCCGTTTGTAAAACCGAGCAACGCAAAGCTTCGGAATTGCGGCAATGTCGAGATAAAAGTGTCATGTATTTTGATCCTGGTTGACTTTTTACTGTAAATTAATATAGTATTCATATAAAGACGAATACTAAAAGCTTGCATGCTTTATTGTGTCCTTGGCTTGTCTGACTCCTAAGCTAAGAATAATTCTTGAGAAAGACTGCACAAATTCGCAAACCGAAACCTAGGGACAAGGCATTATATCGCTTCTCTTTTATGAAACAATATTGGGAATTCTGATAATATTCAGTGCATATTGGGTGTATTAAGCTTGTTTTACAATGTTATACTGACTATTTAATATTTATAAGTATGCGGCGTTAAAATGTACAGTAATTTACTCGTCACTTTGTTTACAATAATTATTATATCACATGCATGTTTACTGCAATTCCACTTTTTGTTGCAAAATTTGAACTATAAACATATTATTAAATTATGTCCAATGTCCATGGTATATCATATATGTCTATGTCTCACCAAAGCCATAAATTTCAGTAAGTTATATTATTACTATATATAGACTGTATACAGTGTATATTATATATTGCAGCACGAAGCAATTCCAAATAACTGAATTAGTTAGCGGGTAATATACAGCTTTAAACTTACTGTGCCTACAGGAGAAACACATGCAGATTGTAATAAAAAGTACAACTTGATATATTACTCTGTAAAACCTCGAGCCGTTTTAACTTTTTTAGTATGCCACAGTGGCGGTCTGTATACGAAACTATTAACGAATTTGAAACGAATCGGTTTTATGTTTACAATATCGTAGTGTATTCCGGTCTGCGCTGATTGGTTGTTATTAATTGACCTGTGACATCATAATTGAAGGGCGGCACGCAATCATCATAGGGATCCTTGCAGGCTCTCTTTCCCCAGAGAGCCTGCTCGCAGGCTAGGATCAATAGCGACATTTCCTCAAAAGAAAACAGCCATAAACAACCTAATTAGAACAAAATCTTTGTATTTATTAGAGGAGTATTGAAAATTGAACTCTCGTGATTTCAAGCCATAAAATTGCTGCAAATTGCACAAGAGTTACGGTCACAATCGCGGGGTGTTTACATTGCAGATTGCCACTAAAAAATCTTGCCGGAAGTTGCAAGTGTAAACAGACTTTCTGCATGTTTTTACCGATATTCATCTAAGGAATTCTTGGGCTTGGCAGAGAGCACTTGTAGTCAGGCAGATAGAGGACCAAAATTATGGAAAACTTACCATATCGTGGGACAATTCCATTTTGCCTTCATATTGTGCCTTGAAGGCTAATAAGTACGTTTCTGTATGTTGGCCTCGTTAAAATTTCTTGTGGGCTCCTGCCGACACGTTTTTCTTCGAATTTTGTATTAAACTCTATTACAGTTAAAAAATGTGAAATTTCTGATACATTTCTAATACAAATGACTTGCATCAATAGAAAGCTAACAAAAAACTACATATGAAACATTTAAATGGTTAGCTGGGATTTTCAAGCGGTTTTCGAGTTATTGCAGTTTCAAATGTGGAAAATAAGCTAAAATCTCGCAAAATTCCTGGGTAGTAGTCTGAAAACACGCATTCAACAGCTCATAACTCAAGAAGAACTTGAAAAACCCGGGTAACCGTTTAAATGTCTTATATGTAGCTTTTTGCAAGCTTTCAAATGATGTACGTAATTTGTGTTAGAAATGTATTTGAAATTTCACATTTTTTAACTGTAATAGAGTTTAATACAACACTCGAAGAAAAACGTGTCGGCAGGGGCCCACAAGAAATTTCAACGCGGCCAACATACAGAAACGTACTAACTAGCCTTAATTCAGGGCACAATATGAAGGCAAAATGGAATTGTCCCACGATAACGTAAGTTTTTTCCTTCTATCTGCCCGACCATTGCTACGTCGAGTCACATCACATGTGCTTTTCGTTTGGTACAAAATTTCGTTTAAAAATAATAAAGTCGAATCTTTAGGCAAAATTAACATTTATTTGGCAGACTCCGCGTTTTCCATGCACTTTATGCCCCCATAAAGTGGGTCTGCTTAAAATCGAATATTAAGGAAAAATAAACCATTTTTTGACAGACTCCGCACTCTGTACTCCGACTCCGCACTCCATCTTTTCCACCCTGCCCAAAATATCCGAATATCAGTTCAATTAAATTTCAGAAATAAAACAGTTTTTGGCCTGTTCACTAATAGTGTTGCAGTGTTTCTTGTACGCACACGCTTTCAAAATGGCTTCTTGTCTGACTTTATTGCTTTCACAAAGTTGTTTTTCTCGATTTCTGCTTGGAGTATAAACACAATAACGGAATGCATTAATTTTTTCAGGAAATGGCTGAGGAATTTAGTAAAATGAAATGTAAAACTATATATCGTTCAAAATAAGTTTTAATAACACTTTTCACTTTACAAGTTTCGAAAACACAATACAGCGGTCAGAACACCATAGAGCACAATAAAAACATGACATATCAAAAGAAGAAATAGTACCCGTTCAAATTGGGAAATCTATAGCATACAAAATAAAATGGATTTTAATGAATATCACGGCAAGGTTTTCCCAACAGTCGGGATGGTTTTTGCTATTTGTTTGAAGTGAATGTTTTGGAGTTTTAAATAAGTTTTAAATTGTCCGTAAATATGTTTGACACAGTAAAATAATAAAGTAATCCTACCATTCAAGTAATTAAATACAACATTTTGTGCTTCTTTCGTTTTCTGGGACCGATTTGTTCAATATTTTGTCGATTTTGAAACCAAATTTGCCGAATCATTCTTTTTGAAAAGCATTATTTACTACCCAAGTGGTAAATAATGCCTCAGATTTACTAGTCAACTAGCCAATCAGAACGCGCGAAAGCTCATTTGATATGCAAAATTTATACTAAAAGTAGGGTATTATATAACACGTAATCTGATTGGCTAATGCGCGTGCATTATAACACCACAATGCACCGTCTTGGTTTTTCAGTATTTCTTGGTTTGTCTCCGCTTTCTTGGCATAAAAGAATCTGAACAGAATTATAGAGCGCCGTTTAAATCCAAAAATCATTGGAAAGCATGAAAGAATAAACCGAAAATGAAGTGCAAAAGCAGCAGGTTACCGCGACCGCTCAAAACCAATTAATATGCTGCGTTTTGCAGATGGACCGACTTGCCATATAACAAATAAATGTATATTGTTTAAAGTCGCTCTAAAATTGCCACAAATTTGGTTTGGGAAAGCTAAAGTTGACTACATCGAAACGGGACAGTTTAGGGACCGTTTTCGTCATTTTCATTGGGAAATCTACTTACCCCCGCCCCAAACTGCCTGGTCCCAGTCTGCTCTGTGTAAAAGCACTGAAATATAAAAAGACAAGCACTATACAGTAGGTCTAGGCGAGAGGTTATATTATCCTGAACAGACTTGAGGCCGGTTATACAAAACTTTTAAGCACGATTTTGCCCTTAAATAACGTTAATTTTCGCACTAACTGTAATTAACTTCAATTATACCCTTTCAAGCAACCAGCCTCTGATATTACGGCAGGTAATCGACGTCAAAGTGTAAAGGCCCACGGCAAATCACTCATAAAAATGTATATGAGATTAAAAAAATCATGTGATTTTTTTGTGATTTTTGTTTTTTTAATGTAATTTCTTTGTGACTTTCTATTTCTTTACCGTCAACGCGAGCCTTGATCGGTCACTTTTATTTATTAAGCAAATTGACACAAAACATTCCAAATGATTATGATAGGGGTATATATACTTGTAGAAGCGTAAGACAAATGAAACAATGCAAGAAAATTATATAAGCATTCCTTTCATTTTCAAGGGTATCTATATAGACTTGCATTCAGACAGGAATATCTGACTTTACGCCGTTTTGTTTCGCTTTGAGGAAAAATTTCCAACCATTTTCGTAATATCCGTAGAACTGAGTCTGTGGAAACGTTAGTGCATCGTTATAGACATAGCGGTAAACTTTTACAATGGGATGGGTAGTTTTATAAACGTTCCAATACTGGTCATAGTTTGAGGGAATAGGCTTTTCTGGTGTAATGTGGATACGCACTTTCAAGACGTAATTCATCTGGAACGCGCCAAGAATTTGATCTACCTTATCGCCTTTCCACCTTAAATTATCAACTTGTTGTTCTGTCTTATATAGCTCGTCCAAGTTTGCGTGGAAGACCATTGGCATATTAGGTTGAGAAGCTTTCGTAGCAATAAAAATATCACATCCAGAGAGTTCGGCGGTAAAAAACCAGTGACCTTTTTGCGGATCGAGAATCATGTACGAGACTGTATTTGGAAATTGGTAGAGCAACATGGCTCGGAACCGTAGGTCTGTGGCAGGAGCAGACGTTCCGATATTAACATTCTCCTCGTTATCGTCGTGCACCATTACCCTTGGAGGTTCACTACCTGAAGCTGAATTACTGATTTGGCAAGTTGCAAAAGCGAATAACTGTTTTATTCTATCGGCTGGCTCAACGATTTTCTTTGTTGCTTTCTCAATGCAAGGTAGCGTTACATCAAACAGGACTGGTTGTCCGTTCTTTAACAATTTTCCGATTTCATTGCTCTCTGACTTCACCACTCCAAAACAATTTCGTGACAAGAGAGGGATAAAAAGACACAGCAATAAAACGATATGTTGCATCTTCATAACGAAATATTATAACACTGTACAAGACAATGAGAGAGTAGCTGAATGACCTTGACTGATTGTTACAAGTATATTCGCTAATAAATAGACCACAAGACCTGGAGGTGTGAGTACGCAGTAAAAAAGCGTGTGGCTATTTTTTGTTTGCATTGACGTAATTTTGGGATTTCAGTTCACGGGCAGGCATAACAAAAAACGGCTATTTTAATGTATTGATCGAGTTTATATAGAAACAGTTTAAGACTCAAAAGATGATTCACCGTTCAGTTTTTCTTGCTTCAACCATTCTGATAGAAGAAAAATCGTGGATGAAAAGTCACGTGATCGCAAACAAAGCATTTATAAAGTAAGCGACTTCATTCATGGAGAGTGGCACATACTTTATTTTAACTCGACGTTTAGAGCAACCTCGTTCCCAGGATATGGAAGGTTGATGGAAACGAGGTTGATATTAGAGTACCTTACACCAGTCACATGGATATAGCCAATTTCACCCAGAATGTAAAGTCAGTAATATAAAATTAAACTAAATCAAGACCAATTACACAACATTTTATAGAGAAGGTTCTCAAACGTTCGTAGTTCTGTAGAAGTCTGGTTGTTGTGAACGGTTAATTTGGCGCCGCTATTTTTGTCATAGCGAACAATATGTCAGACATGCGCAAACGAGACGCTTTTTGTTGGTTTCATGAATCGAATCGAAAAACACGTTTACAACGACTTTCAACTTACATTTTATAGTTTATAGTTTAGAAACAAAGTTTATATGACATTTAACTACGACGTGCAGTACACTGGTTGCCCCAATAGGGGGGGGGGGGGGGGGGGGGGGGGGGGGGGGCGAAGGTGGCCGGGCGTCCCACTTTACGCACCGTCACTTAGCTCCAATATAATTATTTTGGCGTTGTAAACAAGTATAACTATTTATGGCGCGTATACGTATGTATTGTATTGTTATAAAAGTCAAAATTCAAAATTACATGCAGTGAAACAACGACGTCTACGTTTTAAAAGCAAAACTACATAGTATTACATTAAATTGTATTCGCTCGAAATAACATACTAAACGCTTCCAAACAGTATGAGTAAAAATGCTACGAGATTTAATTAATATGACATCATTTGAAAAACAATACATTTTAATAAGTTCTTTGAATGTTTGCATGGCGATAAAATATAATTGTTTTTGTTTGTGGAAACACCACGTAAATAAATGTTGAAAATAAATTGCAGTAATAAATTTACGTGGTGTTTCCACAAACAAAAACAATTAATACATTTTAAGTTAATTAACTTTTTCAAAATTAAAAAATCTGTCAATCAACTATATCGGCCAATCGAAATTTTGCGTGGACAACGAGTTTTTTCGTTTCTTGATGTGTTGTCTACAGTTCCTGCTTTCCTATTACTATAACTATTACTATATGGTTCAATTATAAGGTTATAAGGTTCAATTGATCTAAAATAAGGTTCCGCCAGCAATTAAGTCATTTTGTATTGAATATAGTAATTGTGCTTGGAAAGAAACTATCCTTGAAACGTTCTGTTCTGCGCTTGTACATTGACAAATTACTGGAATCCCTACCATAGCGTTGATGAGCGCAATCTCTTAATCTCTCTCTCAAAATGTTCCGCAAGGGCCCTCTTTAACGATCTTCATTAAGGTTTTCATACAAATACCATTTCGTCTATCGTTCAATCTTGGGCGGCTGCAGCGCTTTATCATGTGAATGACCGGGAAGGATAATACGCATAGCTCACTTTTGTACTTTTTCCAGTTCATCAGACAAGTAGCAAGGTATTGCATTAGCGTATAACCCCTGGCGGGGGTACTAATTCCACTAGGTTATTTATACACCCAGGCAAAGGAAAGCATGGGGGACTCCACTACGGCGTAAAACCTAGAGTATATGTAAACGTTTGGATGACTATTGAAAAAACTATAGAAAAAATATGCTCGCCCCATTTTAAGTTGTTTTGAATAGTTAATCCTAACACTTTATGGGATCGTACTGTTTCTAGTACACGCGTCCATCGATTGTTAACGGTACAAGCTGAGGGGTTTCCTTGAGATAATAGACTCGGAGTTCCTTAAACTTTTTAGCATTCAGCTTCATCCGATTGTTGGAAGCCCATAAATGAAAAGAATTAAAGGTCGATTAACCATAACCAAAAATTATTGAGTGGCTGCGAGGTCCGGATCGATGAGGAACAAGTGTGCCCAAGGTCTTGGAAAAGGCCCCAGCCCGTAGGGCGAGTGTATTATGTTAAACGGCCTTTCTCCACAATTTTATGCGTGCCAATTTCCAAATTATTGTCTTTAGCAAAGGCACTTCGAACACAGAGGTACTACAAGCAATGTATTAACAGTGCTGTTACCGGTGTCAAGCGAAATTCCTGACCTCTGCGAAATACCTGCATGACCAAGCGTAACGGGTGCAGGCGCGAAATACATGACGCTTGCTAAATTCTAAGTCGACCAAAACTATTTTTAGAGTGTAGATACAATAATCATGATGTTAATTTCTAATATACTTCGTTAAATATTTCAAATCGACATCGCTAAGTTTCAATCACAAACACTTTAAATTTCAAAGCGAATTGTGTGGTCGTGACCGCGAAATACACGACGTTTAAATACGGTCGGTCGAAACGATTTTTATGTCTATATGCAATGTTACCAAATGTTTCTAATATATAGACATCGCCAAATCTAAACGGCCAACTCACGAACTCATTGCGATGCTGCTTGCTAAATAGTGAGAATTGAGAAGGTCAAACGCGAAACGATTTTTGGTGCTTATAGTAATGCATATAGCATAACCTTTGAAACTGGAGTTTATTTTATATCACTAAGACTAAGTCTAAGAGCGCTATTCGAGTGACTTTTGCCATATCTGCGATTCAAGTTTTACTATCGCTGAACGCTAAAGTTCACAATCAGTGGTATAGTGTCAATTCAGTTGATCAATTGTAGAATTGATGTTTGAAAATTTATGTATAAATAAAATGACTTTATAAATACACGTGTTGTTTTAAAACTCATCAACGTCAGTGCTGCATGTAACATTATGTGAGCATCACAGCCTTTATAGGGGTCGCCACATTATACGGATCGTGAACACACCTGATATCACTCCTCGTGAACATTTTCAGCTCGGTTTAAGATCGGTCCAAACAGATCCCAGGTTGGTCTCGCCGTAAAAGCGCGGACCTTGAAACTTTTCATTATTAAAGTAAATTGACGCAAAACATTCCAATTTATTACGGTACAGGTAAATATATGCCTGAAACAAGTGCAACTGATATTTTACCAGTAAACTTGCTAGTATACAACACATTTCCAAACATTATATGCAAGGATACCGATATAGCTAAACCTTTAATTGCTTTCAAAATGGAATATCCCTCATTAAGCCGTCTTCTTTGCCTTTGAGAAAAAATTTCCAAGCATTTTTATAGTGTCCGTAGAACTGCATTTTCTGAACTAGTGGCGCGACAATGCTATACGTGTAAACCTTTACACGGTCTGGATGAGCAGTTTTATAATCATTCCAATACTGATTGTAATTCAATGGAATAGGCTGTTCTGGTGTAATGTGAAGACGTACTTTCAAGACGTAATGTTGCTGGAGGTCACGAAGAATTTGATCAACTTTATCACCTTTCCATTTTAAATTTTCCACTTGTTGGTTTGGCTTGTCCAACGTGTCGGCGTTAGCGTGGACAATCAACGGCATGTTAGGCTGGGAATCTTTCGTAGCAATAAAAATATCACATCCAGAAAGTTCGTTGGTAAAAAGCCAGTGTGCTTTTTGCGGATCGAGAATCATGTACGAGACTGTGTTTGGAAATTGCATGAGGAACATGGCTCGAAACCGCAGATCAGGACCAGGAGTTTTGATCCCCTCTTTTTCGGCATCGTCATGGACCACTACCCTGAAAGGTTCTGCAAGAGAATTACTGATTTGGCAACTTGCAACAGCAAATAACTGTTTTATTCCATCCGCCTGCTGTAGGAACACTTTTGTTGTTTTCGCAACGCATCGTGGCGTGACCTCGAACATGACAGGTGCTCCGTTCTTCAACAATTTGTTCACTTCATTACACTCCGATAAAGTGATAAGAACACATAGCATTAAAACGATACGTTTCATCGTGACAAGCGATATAATATATTAACTGAATGTGAGGGTCACTGAATGGCTCAAAGCGATTGCTACCAGTAAGCTAATGAACAGACCACACGAATCGGAAATGCAAGAACAAAGGGTTGTTTCACAGAACAAAGCGTGTGGCTATTTTGTTTCACTTTATTTTATTTCTATTTCTATATGAGCTTTCGTTATACGGCTGTGTATGGAACTCAGAGATCTTAAAGACAGTTTATTAATATGAGGTTATACAATAATTCTTAGTTTCTATTACCATTATACTATTTTAAAGATACGGTGCAGCCCATTCGCACGTGTCAGCTTTGCTTCCTTTTTTGTATCTGTTACGTAACCTCACAATCACGCATACGCTCCACAGACGGCATCGCGGACCCTATCCGCAACATTTCTATTCGTCAAAATAAGGAATTTTGCCATGAAAATATCAAGGAAAAAGGAAAATTTCTTCCAAAACGAAAATTTTGTTTCAAGCGGAAGCACTGCTTGGCTATTTCCGCTTTCCGCAAATAAATATTACTGTCTTACAGTATTTGTCAGATATTTATTTTATTTTGAAGTTATGATAGTATTGTGCAATTTTGTGTTAAAAATATAATTCCAAGGGGTTAATTAAGTGAATTATTCTTTACGAACTGTATGCTTTTTTAACAATTGTGTTTTTCCCCGTTATTAACAGCAAAGTTAGATAGTGTACCACAACTAATAATCTATATGATCTACGACTCGATTAATTTTCTTAACTTAACTTAAGGTACGTAGTTTTATCCTCGCTTTTGTCCTTTGAGAAATGTTGTATATTACAATTTTATCTGTATAAACGCTTGACCTATATGTGCTTCTTCTAAAACGAGTTAATATTGTCTGTCAAGTTCAATAGTATAGTATGCAATAAGAACATATTCCTCATAATTATTTCCTTCGCGTGTACATAGTCTTCCTCGACCATAAATAAATTATAAGTACAATTACAATACTTTACTCCACTCTGATTGTTATCCCGGACACCCGTAATGCTAGTGCAGTAATTAAAAAAAATAATAATAATAAACATGAACGCTTTTTATGTAATATTTCACAAGTAAAGAAAACAAAGATGAAAGAACCTTCACAGGTACGAATTGAAAACTTAAATCTCAAATTACTACTGCATCAGATCCCTTGAATTAAATAAAATATAATTATAGTTCTGGTCATTGAGTACTCGCAAATTAACTTGGAAAAACATTAAACATTTACAGTAGTTTTATAAATGCTATGTAACTATTGGTATTGGTTTGCAGTCTACAATCTGCACCATGTATTAACTATGTATACTGTAGATATCGAGAGTTTGGGGCATTTCGTTCGATAGATCTAACATGCAGTTGGAGGATTTTTGCAGATCGAAATTTCTGGCGGGACGTTATATTCAATTTTAGGGCTAACCAGGAGCAGTTGAGAAAAATGCAACTGTAGGTCCCTGGCAGGAATCAAACCTGCAGCCCAGCGGTTTCAGCTGAACCAACTGAGATCAACTGAGCTGATTATCTATGTACCTCATTATATGCTTTGCTGCCTGAATTTATAAAAATTTTAAAAAATAATCAGTTTTAGTTCTTTGTTTCCTTAAATCAAATCCTGTCTTATCGTTAGCATCTGGAACTAATTGATTCAGCTTCCATTTAACGGGTTAATTGCTTATTACTGAGTTGACAGACTTTTGGTGAGAGAAGTAATGTTTGCCTGAGTCAATGCTGCAGAGTATGACAGTTCTGGCAAAATGCAACGCACAGGTCTCTTCCGCTGTTCTGCAAGCGCTCTAGGTTAGCTCGTAAGTACTTAGGTAGTGTAAAACGGGAGAAGCATAGTCCATACATCAGATGCATGTACTATTGTACATCACATGATCGGCTAAGGATACTCTGGCCTGTTTCGGCTGTAGCAGAAAATACAATTTTCAAGATTCATTATTCCGCTTTCATCCCCGATATAGATTTATAGTACTCGGTGGCCGGCGCTACAAATTTTTCCCTAGACAATCGAAAACCTTATTGATAGTTGGACACAGGCAGCTTCCAAATTCAATATGGCGTCAAACTAAGGAGTGAAGTTTTTATTTTATGTTTTCTACTGTTATCTTTCCTTTTCCCCACTCATGAACGAGTCGACAAATTATTGTCAGTATTCATTCGGCCAAAATTGAGCTGTCTAGATATGGACCAAAATACCGAATTGAATTACAGTAACAGTTAGGCTAAAATTTCAAACACTCGTCAGGTTCTTATTTTATTTTTATCACTCTAAAGTTGAAACTAAAAGTTTATAAATCAAAGACAATAATCTCTTCACAAAGTAATGAAAATGACCCAGAAGTCAGAGTCCTGGATATGTCAACAATAAACAGCATTTCTGTTTGAACACATGAACAAAAAATACTGAACTGTACCTACATGCACCAACCGAAATTGAGTCCTTTTTCTTTAGAAAATAAGAACCTCTTTAAGAACTTGTTTGGCCTAATTTCACGATAAGCACCATTTATATAAGAACCTGTTTAGGCTAACTTGAAAAATCTAGGTTTTTATACGCGGGGTCTTACCGTATCTGAATTAAAACCAAACGTTAATTTAAGTAAAAAAGTCAGGTGAACAGATATCTTGAAAATTTGTTCTATAGAGTCGTAGTAGGTAATTAAAAAATTCAAAACAACGCGACAGCCTATATATAAAAGCAGACGAGTTGGTTTTTTACAGCGGTCATGGCTGGAAACAGTTGCTGTGGGGGGTTAGGATCAGTTTCAATCGTTGAGGTAGTCACTTGAAATCTTCCCCAGATGGAGGAAATCCCATTTCAGAGATTTATTTTAAAAAAATGTAAATTTCTACACTTATCGATCGTCCATTAATAACATTGTGAATAATAAACCAATATTGGTAGAAATCATTGGCTGATAACACTTACTTTTTCTGCCAGCAACTGCAATAAAAGATGGCTCTTTTGTCGAAATGTCCATGGCAGTGATGGGTTCGGTATCGAAAACATTGCAGCCACTGGATTTAAGATTGCCTCCTAGCAGAGAATATCCTGCAACAAGAAGGAAGAAGTAAATCAATCTAATATTTCAAACTAGAGTTATGGAATAAGGGGATGAATTATATATTTTACAATAGTAGGTTAAATTTAAACCCATAAATTATGCCGGCATATAAATGGGTAGAAGTCTAGCAAATATAACAATTTATTCAATGTCATATAGAGCATTTTATGGCCGGTTCATGCTTATACCCATAGACAGCCCGACCAATGAAATTATGACCATAAAGGAGTTTGCATATCTGATACAAAATCATGCTGATTTATTTACATTAACATTAAGTTCAATTTTCTTACCAAATATCACTAATTTTTTTTAAGATGCTTGTGTGATTTTACTCTTGAGTGTATATCCACACCGGGCAGGCTTGAAATATATGCCTGGCCACGGTGGGAATGGAACCTACGACCTTTGGAATACCAGCCCAATGCTCTGCCAACTGAGCTACGCGGTCAGGTCTGTTCGAGTATGCGATATTTCGGAACTGAGTCTAGTTCCTTCGATGTCAGTGTAATCTAATAATCAGATATTTTTTATATTTTGCTGTGTCGGTGTAATGTACTCAGGTGAATAAGATGCTTGTGTGATGTTACTCTGAGTGTATATCCACACCAGGCAGGCTTGAAAAATATGCCTGGCCACGGTGGGAATCGAACCTACGACCTTTAGAATACCAGCCCAATGCTCTGCCAACTGAGCTACGCGGTCAGGTCTGTTCGAGTATGCGATATTTCGGAAATGAGTCTAGTTCCTTCGATATCAGTGTAATCTAATAATCATGATATTTTTATATTTTGCTGTGTCGGTGTAATGTACTCAGGTGAATAAGATGCTTGTATGGATATACACTCAGAGTAACATCACACAAGCATCTTATTCACCTGAGTACATTACACCGACACAGCAAAATATCAAAAATATCATGATTATTTTAAGTTGTTGAAGAATACGAATGTTCGGTTCTCCTCAATTATGTTCGGCTGGAGTTGTATATCCGATACAACACGGCCACTCATGTTGTAAATAGACCATATTAATATCAAATAATGTACAAACATAATCGCAATACATTATATCAAAGCAGTCAGTGTAGAAACACGCGAGCCGAGTAATGTGAATTTACTAAATAAATGGCTAAGGACATAGTCAGGTTCCCTGTGTTATACCTAGCCTGCAACGCAGGCTAGCTTATGCCCATCAAGTGGTAACAACTAAAAGCCTTCACTATCATTCTTTCTCTTACGCGGCCGTTTTCCATTACGATTGTTTTGATTCAACTTTCTAGGCATCCACGCGTAACTATTACATGCACACGTGACTCGTACAGGTGGCTTGTCCTGCGCGAGCAAAACGGCCGTAATGGCAAACGGCCTTTACAGTAGTTCTGATCTTGGGTTATGGTTAAACCTGGTTCACACGAATCACATTAGCAATTCTGTCGGAGATTGTTCTTCTCCTGGCGAATGTGCTTCAATTAGTGGCATGCAAAATACTTACAAATCTGCACTTCCTGAAAGCGATTTGATACTTAGTGTGTAAGTTCACACATTCGTATCCGTCAGGGGCCGGTTGTTCGAAAGACGATTAGCTTAATAACGATTAACCCTAGGGGCGCTTTCCATTGACACGGCCAAACCATTCAGAACGGTCAAATTGTTGAATGAAACACAAAACGTTTGGGCTTCTGACCCATCTGATCAGAAAATATAGATAGAATTAGAAAGAGGTCCAAATTCGCTAAATATTTGAGAAACATAGACCAAATCGTTCTATTGATACAGAGAAAAGAATTCGCGCCCGAGGTTAGCCTAAAATTCAAAGCAAACATTCTTTGTTTTCTTCTCTGAATTTTTGCAATAAACAGACGTTCAAAGCAAACATTCTTTGTTTTCTTCTCTGAATTTTTGCA